AGCCACGGGTTTATGAGAGTCCTGGGACCTCGGGATTAGATGCACGCTTCTGGGAAATATTTGACGCCTCTATAAGTTGTTCGGATTTACGGCTCGGTGAAACAATGGTCTTGCGCAAACTGGAAAATTTGCATAATTGCACTGAATATTTCTATATCGTCCTCCTCTTCGTCCTCTAGACTTAAATCATACTTAATGAAACATAACCGAAGTCTTCATTTAAGAAGATCTAAGGAAAACTTTCAATCAAAATCTTAATTGCAATCGAGAGCAAGACCTGCGTGGATGTGAATCCGATTCCGAAGATTCTGGGACGGAGATCGATGACTAGTTGGACAACTACTGAACTGAGCTTCATTGATTCCGTAAGCGTCTCGATATAAGCTCCATCAGAAAACGCCTGACAATGAAAGTTATTTCAGCAGCCATACGGAAAAGTGGGAGAGTTCCCTATAACAAAATTGACGAAAGGTTTTGAGTTTGAAGGCGATTCTAATCCCAGCGACATCGACAACAGTTGATTAAGGTGGCTCCTTTTAATAAATATTTGCAGATTTGTCATGATGGTTGAATAGCTGGGAAATTATTCAAACTTTTGTATAACAACACAAAATGAGATAAAAACAAAGAAATGTTTTAAGAAATTAAAAATTATCTTGATTATGCTTGCTATTGTGCTTTAGCGACGAGATCCAAGCATGTTCTCCTCTGTCCTTTCATTTATTGCTCTACAGTTTCACTATATCAAATTTTTATCATAATTAAATTCAAAACTTTCAAGCAAATGATTAGGTCTCAGTCCCCGTGACCATGACGTTTCCCATTTTATCCTCAGAGCCATACGCTTTTATTTCGTGACATATTAAATGGAATTTTTCTTCCTCCTCAGAAAATCCTTGAACAATATTATCTAATCGTTGAAATAAATCTTTCTTCTTTTTGTGTAACTTCTTCAGTTGAGATTTGACTACATCGTCTCTAAAGCTCACTTTCGTTTTAATTTGTCGTCTGTAATTTCCTTCGGAGCTAACATCTTTGCGCGTTTGGATGAGAGAACTTATTTTATCAAAGAAAGATTTTCTTCTGGTGTCGCTTGGTGTCTCATCTACCGATCTTAAGACCTCCCCTTTCCTTAAAGCTGTGATGGCCTTGCTGATTAAATCAAAATGAAGTGACCTGCTTCTCCTCGAATCTACTGAGGCAACATCTCCTGCTTTGGTCTCTTCCAACATGGTGGAAGTTTGTTGGAATTTCAACCGTGTCATAGCATCACTTACGAAATCAAGAAAAGCTCTCCTCTCCTCATTCCTCGGCCAGTCGTATGTACCCACTAGATCATATAGTTCACTCTGATTCACTGAATCCTTTGCCTCAAAAAGTGCTTCATTCATTATAGCGATGAAAAAATTCATGGATAGAATAGTAAGGCTAAATAGAATTAGCACAGCAAAGATTCTTCCAAATGTGTCATTCGCTTCTGCTAAAGCATTAATAGGCCTGGCTTTGACTCGACCCAGAGTAAGTTCGAGCTGAAAGTATGTCGCTTTTAGGATCGAGGAATAAAACTCCGATCCATAACCGAAAATTAAAACGCCAAAGTGTAGGAAAGCCACGAAAAGGATGAATAAATTGAAGCTGAATGATGAAAGAAGTTGCGTGGATGTACGTAGAGTTTTAGCGAACACTGCAATGTGAGAATTGAACCGAATAATCCTCAATAATTTGATACTGACGATAAAAATGAGAATTCCCAGCATTGCATTCTCTACTTCAAGCGCAACGATGGCTTCATGAAAGCTTACATTCGCATAAATGTTTTCTTGCAATTTCTGGATCTTTGTAGACACCCTGATCGTTTGTAAAATATACATTACTACGGCTAAAACGGAGAAAGTAATCTGAAAGAATTCAACCCAATTCCAGATGGAAATGAAATACCTACAGCCTAGCTTAAAAAGCCTGTAGCATTCTCGTCCGAGGTAAAACAGTATGAACACGATGAACAAAAGTATGCAGATCAGATAAAACTTATTTGATGTTGTTTCCGTCGAATACAAAGAAATAACATCAACCCTTGTAAAAGGCGCCTTGTACCCTGATGCTTCCACCTCATAGAAATACGTAGTAACAGTTAGAAGGTTGACCGATGGATTAAATGTGGTAAATTCCATCATAACAACTCTTGTCTGCTTGTCCAGCCAATAATAGCTCGTAAGGTTTTCAACGATGCTATATCCGGTGGAGGTATCGTATCCGAGGTCTGCAATAAATCCTCCTCCCGGATAGAATGAGAATTGTCCCCACTTTGGTGCTGTGTCAGCTTGCGCGGCATTTTGGTATCTCCATGGCTTCGGACAAAGTCGGAGTAGCTCGTCATTACTCGTAGAGTTATCGACAGGGTTCCATCCCGGTTTATGGAATGCAGTCTTGTCTTCGTTACTTTCCGAGTATCCTTCGTAGCATACCGGAAAGGTAGTTTTCATGTGATCCAAGACTTTACACGGGACTGAAAATGTATGGAATAGAAAAATTGAAAATTGATTAGTCTTGCCAGATTCAGGAAAGATCTTCTCGGAATTTTGTTTCCCTCAGGGTATCCCCAACTAAGCTCTTCCAGAAATCTATGAGCTTGAAATGTAATGTAATGTAATGATTTATTTCATGTCGAAAACGTGGGAAGTGCTTGCGCGATCTTCCGAGCCAGAGGCTCATGTTAAAAACGGTCGACAGGCTAAGAAATACGAGAATTATCCATATACAAGTCTTAAGAAAAACTTAAGAACATCTAAATTTAAGAAAAAAATATAAATATATATATGTAGATCTGATTATATGATATATTAGATATGAATTTTATAAATATAAACTAGCCCAAAAGTAAATAAAAATATGAACATAGAAAGTTAAATACAGGTCATACATTGGCACCCTGTGAAATTGACATTATTCAGCCGAGCACGAAATTGTGCTATAGTTCTCGAGGATTTGGTAACAGTTGGTAGTTGATTCCATATGTGGGAAATCAAGTATAAATCAGGTATATTCACATCCGCCTGCTTCTTTCGTCATCGCAAGAGATCAATATTCGAGTCAAGAATGCCTTTTAAAGTAATTCCTTATTATTGAAACAGATTGCTAGGAAATGAATATTAGGGTAATAGGAGTCGTTCATCTTTCCTAGTCGACGAGAAAGAATCAAAATCAGAATGGCTGCACTGAGGAAAAATTTGAAAGTTGTCTTTTGGAATCGCAAAACGCGGTCGTTGTCTGTTTTATCCATGTACTTTACATGGTACACATGAAACATTTTATTTGTGTATGGACCATAAATCTCTTGCAATGCAGTAATTAGCCACTAAGTTCATTGTGTCACTCTGCGTAAAATACATGACGTACATCGCACGTTAAACCTTATGTTGTGATCATGACGATAAGTCTTCCGCCATACAGCTGAAAAAAATTCAGCCATATGTTTGTAGCCACTACGTGAGTAGTGGTTTCATTGGGGGGATCAAACTGGTCTCAACAGACAGTTGCTTTCAAAATCGGAAAAACTGACGGCAAAACTTACTTGATTTCACTCTTAATTGCCTTACTCGCGCCATTCCTATCAGGAGAGAATGTTTATCACCTATGTACATGGTCTGATTTTCCTCTTGGCCATTGTACCATTTGCCCACAAACACGCTTGGAATCAAAACGTCGTTTAACCAGCTCCAAAACTCATTATCGTTCACTACCTGATAATGAAGTAAGAGAAAGTGACGTGTTCCTTAGATATGCGACAATGCCAATGAAAGCTATCATTTTTCGTAAAAAAAAATTATGGGGGAGTGAGCTAGTCCAAACTAGCTACACAGAAATTGAGCCACGAGTCTAAATAGGAAAACCATACTGCAAAGTTGACTCATCCCAAGGTGCTCCCATCTTCCCTCTTCTTTGAAATATCAACGAAAGGAAGGAAGTGAAAGATGCACGCGTGGGATGAATTTTGGTAGTCTTCTGCGACCGCTCATAAATGTCAAAAGAGGACTGGGGACAAGTCAAGTGCGCATGGTGAAAATTACGCTAGTAGGCACCAGGCCTCTTACTGGTCACCAAAAGCGATGCGGATAAAGACCACTTTTGTTGATAACGTACCAGAAGGTAACAATATGATTTTAACCTACCCAAGGGGAACTTAACTAGATCGTCATTCGCATGTTAAAGAAAAGTTACAAACCTTTTAACTGGGCGAAATTTGCCTAAACTTACAATTTTTTAGCGAATACGGTCGAGTTTGACGCAAAAAATTGATGAAAAAACTACGGAAATTTTTTGGTATGAAATTAACTTACAGTGCTGAATCTTGATAATCCCTCGCGGATGGACTTTGTCATCAGAAATCGATGGTCATTTCTGTTACCATAACAAACCGCCATTAGCAGGAAAATGAAAATAAGGTAGAGAAAAACGTCCACAAAAAGCTGTGAAATGTTTTGTTTTTTGGCTTGATTCTTTCTCATCTTTTCCACCTTGGTTAACTCTAGTTTCCATAACCTTTGCTTCGAGGGGCCAATTTGAGGTTCCTCGAGACTTTCATATCCCTTTCCCTTGCTTGCTTTTCTTTTGGAAATAGCCGCCACAAACATCGCTATGAAGAAAACTTTGACAGGCTCAGTGACTGCTACATCCTGGCTGAACGTTATCAGCATTGAGGACAACCACTTTTCACTGATGCTCCTTCCCCACAGCAAACTGTAGAAGATTGAAAAAGCCGCCGAAACTGCACATGCACAGAAGAGCAAAAACCAAGCAAGATATATCAGCAGGGTTGCTTTAGGAAAGTGACCAGTGCTGCTCTCAGACCTCTCAGCTCCTTTCTGAAACAGGAATACTATGAGAGTGTTAATCGGTGCCACAATTAATGCGCTTTCAATACCAATAATTACTTGTCTCCATGAAAATTTCAGTGGTCCGATTTGAATGATCTGTTCAGTGCCACCATCCAATTCATAGAACATCGCATTAGCGAGCATAGCCGTTAAGAGCACAGAAAGGCAGCATGATGCCCGCTGTACTCTCGTGAAGCAGCTTCTTATTGGCTTCGTTGCAACTGAAACCCAAATGTGTGACTCAGTGAGGCCTTTCCACCAACGGTTCGTAACTTCTTGATTGAAATCCAGTTGATTTGGTTTCAATTCAAAGGTACGCTCGATGCGGCCGTCTCCGCGCTCAAGGGCAAACCACTGATTAACTGTAAATATCCAGGAATTATTAAATTGTTTGTCTAAAATCACAATTTCTTCTAAAAACCACGAAGGACTCTCTCCAGAGTTATCATGACCGATGCGCACTCCTTGAATGGTTCCAAGAGGTTTGGTAACTTTAAGAACGAACACATCTGTGTTAGCTCGAGAAAATAACAAATTGTCTGCACCAGGCTCTTCTGGGCTGAGCTCAAGGATACCAGTGTTTTCACCAGTTCCGTAAATTTCTATTGCAACCCTGGAAGTTGTGCCAGAATTTCTCCAGACACCTGTAGAAATGATTATCTCGAATTCTTGCAAGTTGTTCGACGCCGAAGGCAATTGTATTGGCAGAACATTCTAGAAATACAAATGGAAGACATACATCAACATTTTAATAAACAAGCGCTCTTTGCTGAAAATAAGAACTCCTCCAGCCTAAAATTGGACAATTTCATTCATTTTACATTTTAAAGGTAAATATGGGCAGTTCCGCTGTTTTCTTTTTATATTTTTTCTTTTTTTCTTGCGGGGAAGGAGGGGGGGAAGAAACTAGTTTTTAAAATAGCCTAAATAGTGTCAAAACTCTTGGCACGCCATATCGTTTTCCTTACCGGTTGTATCGATGTTCATAACCCTTCCCACTCGACTACAATGTTTCCTGTTTTCTATCTGACCTGCAACTGACTGATAGGCTATTTTGTTGTTGTTTTTGTTAGTTTTTGGAGGGGGAGTTACAAACTGCATAGGGAGCTCTGCAATCAAACGCCTTATTTTTTCAGGCAACGGGATATTCCTAGCACTTTTGTCACTCATCGTAGATAAATTTCTGTATAGAGTGTAGGGTCTTAGCGTGCGGAATGTTTTTTGTTTTGTTTTTGTTTTTTCTCATTCAATCAATCATTAGGGTGTCCTTTTGTGTTGCCGCTGCTTCTCGTCGTTCGTTAGTATTTTTTCGCTGGTCAGTTAGCTTCTGTTGTTTCTGTGTCACGTATCTTCGTTAATTAGTTTCTTTCGTAATATAGGCGCTAATTGCACTTTAAGTTAGCTAGTCGTTTTCGCATGTATAAATTAGTTTTTCTCAAGTTCAGAGTTTAGTCTTCCGTTAGTCATACAGTAGTTCGCTTTGAGCAGTTAATCCAGTTCACCTTATTTTCGCCTTTTGGCAGTTTTATATTCGTCCAGCAGTTTCGTAGAAATCGTAACAATGTAAGTATTGTCATTTCAAGTTTATTCAGTTCGTTCAGTGTATTTCTTTACTGTCACTTTTATTAGTCAATTGTTGTAATTTCGTATTCATTTATTGTTTTAAGTTTCAACCCACATAACGTCAACATCATTCGTACCCAATAAATACGTCTCCATCATCGTGGTGTTGTGAGGTTACGATTACTGCAGTTACATAGAGTATATCATATGGCTGTCAATGAATACAGGAATCCCAGCGAAACCTCAGTAGAAATTCCGGAGGGAACGCGAATGGGAACCCAGCAGGATCCCGGCGAGAACCCAGACGAGAGCCCGGTAGAATCTCGGCAAAAACTTGGACAGTAACCCGGCGGACCCGTTAGGATCCCGTGTGGGAACCTAGTGGAAACTAGTGTGATACCGGAGGCATGGCCGGAATCTAGAGCGGAAATTCTATGAAATAGAAAGAGGGAACGGATGTATATGATCATACTCACATTTCTCTTGTCTTTTTTATCTGCTTTCCGGACGATAACAAGCACAACAATATAACAGAGAAAAAATACAGTTACTGTTACAATGACAGCAACATTTCCAGTCTCTCCATGTTTCTTGAATTCGATTAAGACCTTGTCGAAGTCGATTGGATTCGGTTTCACTAAAAGGCCTCCCCCAAACGAAGTTAAATGATTGCAAGAACAGTTGAGATATCCATTCAATTCTGCTGACAAAACCTGCGAGTAAATGCAGAAAAACTACTTTGTCACTGTTTTTCAGACTATATATGATGGATGTATGAAAAATCTGAAGAGTACAGAATACATTAGGACAAAGCGTACCTGACAGCCGTCTGTTATCCACATTTCTCGCTCCTCCGACCAGTGCACGCAGTTCCCTTGGGTTACCCTCAGAGTATAGTTATAATCCGTTCTAGAGTCATAAACTGGCACCACTGATACATTTTCGCTTCGGGGTGGGGTGGCTGGTGGGTCCTTGACTTCGACGCAGGAGCGCTTTTCCCGTCCCTCTCCAAAACAAGATCTTTTACGCCTTTTCATGGGGATAACCAGGCTGGCATTGGAGCTCTTTACACCAAGAAAGTATTTCCCGGGACTCTTAGCTAAGAATTTGATAGGTTCAAGTGGACCGTATGAACACTGGGTTTCCTCCTCTTTTTTGTCATGCGCACGTGACGCCCAAACACACCTTGAGTACACAGACACAGTGGCGTTGAGTTCATGCACTTTTATGGTTGGCCGCTGGCCGTACCGCAAGTAAACAAACAGACTTACAGTGGATTCATGAGGAGTAATTTCCAGCTTTACCAGAGTATTTTCGAACTCAACATCTATCCCATGAAAACGTAGATTTTCATTTCTGGTAAAATACTGCGGATTCTCCGTAGCGATTTCTTGAGGCTGTAGTGATGTGACAATAATGATGTCGCTTGTGAGATTTGAAACTTTGATCACGTTACGGATTTCGTCTTTTAAGTCGAGAGCTAGGACTTCAGAGTTGACTCGCTTCTTTGTTCCGTCCCAAGTGTAAGGATTGAATGGAATTGACAACATCTGCCACAAATGAAACGTTTAATAATTAAAAGCTTAGCAATAAAAATCAATCGGGTGTAAAAAGTGATCAGATATTGGTTTTATTTTACCACACAGCGCTCTATAATTGGTCGAGTGAAACTGGTGCACCACCCTCTCCAAAAATCAGATTCTCGAAACTCGGTTATCTGCATCGTTTAGCTCTAGATTTACATTCTGAATAAAAGTCCGGTCGGTACCCAAGACCACGAAGCAAAGATTTTCCCGACCGTCCCTCTCACAGTGTCAATACATACGTCTTTTTCGCCCATGAGATAACTCTGAGAATAACTATTACAAGCATGCTTACCTGAGTATCAATGTAACGTTTTCCAGTGACAATGGACTGCAATGATTGGCTGTCAGAAGGAAAAACAAATTTCCCGCCTGCTGCTTGGATCCTAAGCCCCGTAAGTTTCTCAAGGCTGTGGCGTCCTAATGTCATGGTCAGCTCCCTCGTTGCTATGGAAATCATGCCTTCATCGGGGACTCTTACAGCTAATACTGCGTCAGCAACCAAACTAATTACTTGCATTGTAGTCTTAACGAAGTTCACGCCCTGTAGAGAGATGCACACACCAAGTTTATCAAATAAAAAAAAAACAGGATCTTAGTGATCGTATAAAATACACCTCTTAACCAATCCTAACTCAGAACCTTGTGAATGTTATCGGTTTCTCTTTCCAGTCTCATTCCTAGGTTCCTTGATAATTTCAGACCCTTTGTCTTAACCACATTTTTACGTCTTCTCTGATCTCCTACTGCACAGACCTACAGCAACAGAATATTTTTTGTTCTATATAATAAAAGAGCAAAATCTGTTGACGGTGACATCTCTGCGTCCATTTTCTAATAGATCACAATCAAGAACCAATCAAAACGCGTGTTTAGGTTAGCTTATCGTACAAAATATTATTGATTCCTCAGGCTTTCTTAACATAATACCTGCTCTTGAGGCCCAGAGCCGTAACCTCCTGACGCAATTACTGCTCCAGCTTTCAGTACACTGTTGAGACATGAGCCCAGGTTCTCTGCAGATTGGGTGACCAGGGGTATATCGACCACATCTTTTAACTTGGCGGTTCTCCAGAGAAGTGAAGTCATTGAGTGAAGAGAAGTCAAGGAGGATACCTTAAATTTCAAGTAGAGACGGTAATCGAAAATGTTAACAATATTTAGTATCAAGTTGATCATTGTTTTTAACAATTTCCTTACCAGAGTATTAGAAGACATTCTATCCGTAACCTGTAGAGCAGAACCAATTACAGACGAGCTTTGGAGAAGATCTGGAAGATTTCTCACTGGTAGAGAGATAATCTTTGCGATCAGGAAATCTTGAATCTGTGGACATAAAGAAAACATTTCCAAGTCATTATGCAAGTGTCATGAATCAATTACGACGTAGTCGTGTGGATTGAAATTCGCTCATCACCCCTCCCTTCTACCAAAAAGACAGACCCTCTTTTTAATAATGGTGATAATAATTAAAATTTTGACCACAATGGTAAAAGTAATCAGGATGAAAAAAATTGAATGATTTATGAAGCATACCTCATCTCAATATTAAGCTGACTTACTTTAGCCTTATTCTGAAAACTAATGGTCGTATCCTGTGAAACAGTCTGGAGGACAGAATTTGCAATTTGTGCAGCTTTACTCAAGTCTCCAGCTCGGATGACGTCGTTAAGTAAACTTTCATAAGCCATGAGGAGGCCGGAGATGTTTTCTGGCCTCGAACGCCCAGATGGCTTAACCTACAGAAAGTCAAACACGAATCAATCGACTGTAAAACTGGAAAAGAAAAAAAACTACAGCAGAAACTAATCTAAACATATCTCAAACTCGATAAGAAGAGTCCTGTCTTTAGGGGGAATTTGAAAGAAATATCTCTTTCGCTTTAAAAAACATAAACTCACTGTGTATAATCTCTAAAATCTAGATGGGAGGTCCGGATACCCAAGAACCAATCGTACAAAACCTCATTCTTTTTTCACGCCCCTTTCTACTAAATGAATGCCTCGAACCCTCTTTATAACTAAGGAAATGGAAAATATGGGTTTTAAAGTCACAAAATGGAGAATTTGTGATGACGCCATAATTCAAATACGTCATTTTTTCTTTCTGATAACGTCATGACCAGAAGATGACGTCATAACCAAGAAAACTGAAAACATGAAGTCGTACCTGCACAGACAAATTTGCCACTGAAGCAGAGGCACCAACATCATCAGTGATTATGACCTTGACCTTTACATTGAAATTTTCCGACAGATTACCAGGCGGTAACCAAGAGCTGACCGTGTTGTTGTAGCCATGAAATAACATACTATACAGACCGTTCTCTAGTTGATATTGGAACTGGTAAGAGAGCGGGATGCTGTCACTCCTCCAGTTACTACACGTCAGCTTGAAGTCAGTTTCCAGTGAGATACCGCTGGAAGGAGCTATCGTGCATGTACCCCCTGTGGGCGCTGATGTAGTAGAAATGTCGTATGCGCCCATCCCTGGTACGCCGGCTGTAGTTTGAACAAATAAAGCCAGTCGGTAATTTGTTCCCTCAGAGAGAGAACCTTGTTTGATGACGATGTTACTTGAACCGAGTGGTGTGTTTGCAATAAGCTGTAAATGTTGTCTTCTTTTCCAGATGTCGTTGTTTGTAGCTGAGGAGGCTTGTTCATAAAGTATCCACTAATACGAAGAGATATTAGAGCACAGGGACCCCTGGCATTGTGACTGAATACTGAGTTTAACCGATGGAACTATTTTAAGTCCACAGTTTACCAGGCATCTGAAAAAGACAAAGGCACAACATAATGACGAATAACCAGCGAGTAAGCAATGGTCCTTAGTTCAGGTGCATGACGAAACGCTTGTCAAGTATGGTAAAGTTGATCGTCAATAAACGATTTCACTTGCTTTCTCTGAAGAAGAAAAACTTTGAAAGCTGCTAAGTTTAATTTCATGGACAATACAATAATAATGGCCTGGAAGACTGGGGAGGTCGGAGGACTTTAACGGGGAGGATGACATAATTTTGGGGGATGGGAGAGGGGCATCAATCATCTCTTACAGATAATTAAAGGGAGGGGAACTATAGAGAATTGACTGCGATGAGGGGGGATCATTAATATGCTATTGAGCTTAGGAGAATCTTATTGTAACACAAACAAAATCCTCCCCCCGCCTGAACACCACGAAACAACTCGCTTACCGTTGAGTTATCTCAGGTGGGTCTCCTTTCACCAAATGAATAATTTGATATACGCGTGAGCTGCGATAGTCTTTAGAGACAACCAGTTTAACCACGTATGTCCTGTTGAGGAGCAGTGGTGCTGTGTTAAAGGTAATTTCTGCTCCAAAATCGTTCCCAGCATAACGAATAATTGACTCGTCAAGTCCTGTAAGAGAATCATTTGTAGCTGTCTGCAGGCCGGTGTAATTGCCTGTGATCTCACCATAAAACCAGGTAAAGTTCATTCCTGAGTGATCCCCGATGCCAACATCCGGGTCATATGAAAGCGACGCATTCATCGTGATGTTTTCGTTATGACCTCGGATGACCTCAATGCCTCCGTAGATGAATGCGACGAGATCGGGTTTTCTTTTGCACAACTTCCCATCTAAAAAAAGGAAAGTAAAATACCTTTAAGGTCAATCAGAACTCAAAGTAAAAACAACCAAATTTACTAAAACGCCGGAAAACGCGGGTGACAAAATTATGAGTAGATTTAGTTTTACATCTGATTGGTTGAAAGGGTGGCGCCGATTTTTTCTGGACCAATCATGAAGCGAAGTAAGGCAAAACCAATGCAATCTCAGATTACTTTCAATTGAAAAGTGCTCTAGCGACACTCGTTCGAAAAAATCACCTATTCCAAATTGGTTTAGAAATAATATTACACCCGTGACTTTAGTTCTTTTGTTTTGAACCTGTGCTTCTATCGATGCCCCCCTCCCTTCCCACACACAAGGGCCACAATCAGTGTATGTAAAGATGCTATCGATGTAGGCCTTTTTGCGCCGGCGAACTTGACTTAACTTGTAAATATTTCGGCTTATTGCAAAAGTGTGAGTCACAACACGAATGATCACAGCATATATCTTCGTTTTCCTTCATAATCTGATCACATGACGGACCACCGTCTTTGCATAAATTGCAAGAGGTGCAATTCATGTCCAGACTTTCAATGCTTGAATTATATCGAAAATAGACCCAGGCACATCGGTCGTCACTCGGTTCACAAACTCTTTGTTTCAAGTTATTTCCACTACAATTGACCAACAATCCTTGGCATAAGGATTCATAACACCAGAGGGGCTGGACTGTGAGACAAAGGAAATTACGCGAGTCAAAGTTTGCTCCTGGTGTATAAAATGAACAGTACCATTTTGAACCTACTAAGAATCAACACTGATAACTGCTCGTCTTTGCGACCTTTCTTGAAGTGTTAGGTCTGAGAACTAACCATCCTAAATAAGGGTTTCTTTTTATTACCATACCTGTCTTCTTTAATCTGTATTGAAAATCCGGAAAATCTCCCTGTTCATCAACTGCAGGGGCGCAGTGGCTTCATGGTATAGGCCCTGAACCTGGGATTGAGGGATTCTATTTCGAATAATCGACAGCCAAGTGCGAAGTCATTGTGTATCGTCACACTTTTGTTCTTGGGAAAGACACGTTACTCTCACCCTGCCTCTCTCAACCCACTATCAACATTTGCCAGCGAGCTGTCAGGTAAACCTGACGAAATGCGAGCGGAAAGGACATGGCCTGCGATAAGACAACATCCTTTTTAAAGGAGTAGCACTCGCGTGTCGTACTCCGCTTGTAGTGCGATAATTGAGACAGACGCTTCTAGTGTTTACACATTCGCTAACGCCCAGACTTCCCTTTTTATATGTTTAAGAGCATTTAACGCGTAAATACACCTACCTTGGTTGATACTACTTCCAAGTATCGATTGCGAAACAGTGGCACGAGATGATGTGATGTTGAAAGTTAGACTTTCTGACGTAAAATTCTGTTTCACGATTGCCGATGCATTCAATGGTGTTGTCTGGGAGGCGGTGACCGGAACAGTTTGATTGACGGTAGGCGTAAAGGATTGAAAAGTCTGATTGACAGTGGTTGTGGTGATTGCAAAGGTTTGATTGACAGCTAATGTATTATGAATTGTCACTTGATAAGACGTTCTTGTAATCGTTGGATTAAGTATTGTGCCTGGTATTGGTAATTCAGAATTTGGTAATGCATTGTCCAAGGGCGTCGTAGATGATGTTGGCGATAGTTTTGCTGATGTTAACATAGCAGTTGATGAACCTGTTAAATTTTAAAAAGTCCTCTTAGCAGTGTTTCTCGTTTGTTTAACTAAATAAAACCCACAAGTTAGTAACCGTTGCCGAGCTATATTTGTCGTTTGAATCACACATAAACTTGGAAGTGATACCCGCAAAACATACATGCAGACAAAAGAAGAAGGAAAAATTAACATCTCTGGATGTCAGCTTACTTGAGCTTGCCAATGATGGTTTGTTGTAATCCTTTACTTGAGATATGTTGTACAAAGAGAGTGCATCCTTGAAAATCCAAACTTGGGACAATCTTCCCTTGAACAGGTAACCAAGCCACAAAGAAGACTCTGTTGCTAATTTTTGAATTCCTTTTGCTGTTGAGTTTGCCACTTCTACTCCATCCACGTAAAGTGTTGCCACTTGACTGTCATTGTCATATGCCCCAGTGATGTGACTCCATTTATTCAGTAGCAAGTTGTATTTACTTCTCACGGAGTACTTCGTGGTGCGATCAAGAGAGTTAACGTGGAAGACTGGGCGATAATTTTCGAGTACTAAACTCACTCCGTAGTTAGAGTTCTTCCAGTAGGAAAGAATTTCTCCATCTCTGCCTCGTGGAAAAACCCAGACGAGAAGAGTGATCGAGGATCTAAAAGTAAGATAAAGAGATCGCAATACATGAAGGATTTTACATCGCTTCGAAGGGTCATATGTATTATTAGTTTTTCATTCGATTTGAAGTATTCTTTACATGAGAGTTGCTATGACGGGTGCCAGTTTGCACGTCAACACGGCTCATTTCGCGACTGTGTCATCTCCCTCCTAGCTTGATGACAGTGGTTCAGGAATCTTTACCCAGGGATAAATTCATCGTTCTTTCGGTTCAGTAAAGAGTCTATTTGTCAGACACCAGGATAGCAATGAGTCAGGACACTGAATTCCTAAAGAAATCCAGCCCTTTATTTCATAAGTTAGTTTTAGACCTAGAGTATCTTGTCATGCATCTGGAAACAATGTTACAAGAACCTTCTTAATAGAAGGTGACGCGCTAGCCGTCAGTGAACAACCCACGGTGGACTCCGGATAAAAAGATTCAATTCCCCCCTCCCCCCCCCCCAGCCGGATCATTGGGTTGAATTCTTGGGCAAAACACTTTACACTTGCCTCTGTCCATTCACGATTGTATATGGGGGGGGACCAGATAGCTGTCAGGGAAATCTAAGGAGAGGGTAGCCTGCGATGAATAAAGGCTGATAGTTTCGAAAGAAACTGTTTGGGGCTGCGTCGTTGGGAGCAACGAAATAATTTGGATATATCAACAAAGTTGAAATGGTAAATTGGCCACCGTAACGATTACAAAAGCTGACGTTTCGAGCGTTAGCCCTTCGTCGGAGCGAAGGACGAAGGGCTAACGCTCGAAACGTCAGCTTTTGTAATCATTACGGTGGCCAATTTACCATTTCAACTTTGTTGATATATCCATATTATAGCCTGCGATGGACTAGTATCCCATTCCGCAGGGGAGAGGGGGAGGGGGTAGAGAAACAAACCCCCCACAAGCTCGGTAGGGTTTGGCAGATATCCTCTAAGCCTTACAATACCTTTTTGAATAAACATTACATGACAAAACACTTCATTTACCTTGTATTCAAATTATATGATGCGTTAAGATATATATAACTTGGTGGTGAGCGTGCTCCGGTGAACTGATATGACCCACCAACTTCGCCATAGAGCCCCAGAGCAGGCTGTGCATTGGAGATGGTCCCTGCTGGATTGTTGGACGAACTGAAATCATTTGCTTCACTTGACGAATTCAGAGGATAGTATCCAACAGGATGTGGCAATCCTGCAGTGACAGACACGAATGCATTCAATTAAAAATTTTTTATTCTGATTGGCTACGGATCTATGTCCAGATAAATAGCGAGTAGAATGAGCAACCTAACAATGGGCGGTTGGAAGCAAAATAAAGTTGAAACATTTGCCTGTTTTGTTGTTAATTTTCAAAATACTAATTTTTTTATAATATATATACTAAAACAATTTTAACTCGCCTTCATTCAAGATTCTTCCCTAATGGCGGCTCCAGAAACTAAAACTAAATTAATAATCATAATAATTTACATTTATATAGCGCAGACCTCTATATGAATATATACAGTCGCGCTTCACAATATCGTAAGATAGAATTATGGCAAAAGTAACTAAGATATAAGAACCTATTGGAACCTACGAGTCTATGCACTCAAAGAGAACAATAGCCAAGCTAAGTGAATAAGAAACATGAGTAAAAATAAAAATCTATTTGAAAGCTACGTTAAAAAAATAAGTTTTCATAGCAGTCTTGAAAGTGTCCAACGTCTTTATGTTACGAATTGTCGAAGGTAATGCATTCCAAAGATGAGGCGCAGCTGATTGGAAGGCACGGTCACCAAGGGTTGGATGTGTCCTGGTGCTTGATAATTCGAGTAATAAAGATCTGTTTGACCTAAGAGAGTACCTGGATCGTTTTTGATGCTAATTAAATCAGTCAAATAGTTAGGGGCTAGACCATATAAACAGTTAAATGTCAAAAGGAGAATCTTAAACTTTATACGGTAACTAATCGGGAGCCAATGAAGGTGGAAAAGTAATGGCGTAACATGGCAGTATTTTGGTGATCCAGTGACCAACCGAGCTGCGGCATTCTGTATCCGTTGGAATTTCATGATATGTGAATTCGGGAGGCCATATAGTAGACTGTTACAATAATCGATTCTACTGGTTATAAAAGCATGAACTAAAAGATGAACTAAAAGATGATGAACTAAAAGATGAACTAAAAGATGGAGTTGTAAACACCAAACTTTAAAGTAAAGCTAAGAAAAGAAAAAAGTGAACGAATGACACTTGCATCCTCATGGGGACTCAGAATATTTTCTTTGTCTCACCCTCGTGACAAAACGAAAAACATCTTTCTCTGTTTTTTTACCGAGCTTAAAACTAACCATCTTTCTTATTCTATTTACAAGGCACTTACATTAGCTACCGGGTTTTTTGGCTGCCCTTGATCATTATGAGATGGATTTTAGGCTGTCAGAACCAACCACTTCCACTCACGAGCGAAAAATAGGCGTTGAAAATCTAACTCTATTAAGGTGGCTGAACACAGTTTTCGCGCGCGAACAAGGATTGCAAAAAACAAACATGCCATCAATAGAGCGGTCATTTTATTTACTCAACACGTTTCCGCACGGAAATTTCTGACAATTCTTTATCCTTTTTAGACATCAAAGTTTCAATTGAAGGCAATGGTTTATGCCCTAGTTTGTATTATAAACCTACAGACTCACATAATTACTTGTTGTATTCGTCTTCACATTCATCTCACGTTAAGAATTCCATTCCTTTTTCTCAGTTTCTAAGACTTCGTCTTTTATGTAGTGATAACTCTGATTTCCACCACAAATCAGAGTCAATGTGCCAGTTTTTCGATAAACGCGGTTACCCTGATTCTATCGTTCAAG